TCAGTAAAAGAGCAATATAGGATTCTATCCATAGATTTGAGTATTCTTGAGATAAGTTAATTTTGAGTTATTGAGTTCTTGATTCGTTTTGAAATTCTATTCCAAATTATTGAATTTCTATATGTTATGCATTAATTTTCTTGAGTTGATTCATTCATGTCTATATTTCAACATGAACCCTATGAATTGTGTATTCTTGACATGAATAGTGTCCTTAAGTTCTTGTGTTCTTGAGCTCTGAGTAGTGAGTTTTCCTATTGATATTAAGACCCCAGAGTTCAGTCGTTCATATCCATAATTCCGCATGAACCCTATGAATTGAGTTATAAATTTTGAGAACCTTTTTAAAGCCAACATTTGAGTTTTGAACTAAGTTTTTGAGAAAATAAAGATGAGTTTTGAGGAAGAGTTTCTAAAAAATTATTAGTATGACAATCGAGTATGCCATCAATGTTTAAGTAGTATGATATCTAGATATACCATCAATGTTTATGCAGTATGACTTCCCAAGTCATCAATGATCATATTATAATATGATTTTGAAATGCTTTTGAGAAAGAGTTTTCAAGTATGAGTATAGGTGGACTATGTATTCCCAGAGGCGTTAATTTTTACATTGATAAAAGAAAAACTAAGATTTCTAAATGAGTTATGAGTTCAAAAGTTATTCAAGAGCAGTTAACTCTTTTAAAAGGGTGGTTTGAGCTATTATCTCAAACCAGAAGAAGAGTTATGTTTTTTTAAACATATAAGCATGAGTATATATTATTGGGAGTAGTATTGAGCACCGATATGTGGGAGAGTTCAGACATCTCACAACCCCAATTAACCATGTATGCCAACATAGATAAAGGGTCATATTTTTTATATGATTCCTTATTGTTTTAAGCATAGCTTAGCGGATCCACTTAGTTGAGGGTGCCCTATATTCCGGCAAGGTATATGATAGTTCTAGCAGTGTGGGCGAGACGTTGTATCATCACGCTGCTCATACTGATGGTTGTTAGTTAGAGAATTTCCCAAATAAGAGTAATGACTTGTTATTATATTTTTATATACATTTGATTTATGATCTACTGTTCTAAAAGTTTCATGTATATAGCATCTTTTATTGTTGCTTTCATTTTGAGTTCAGTATCTTGAGTTTAAGTTGAGTATCTTGAGTTTGAGTTGAGTTGAGCATCCTTAGTTGAGTAACTTGAGTTGAGTTGAATATGCTTGAGTCGAGTTGAGTATTCTTGAGTAATATTCAGTTGAGATGAGGTAAGTATGTCTTTCCTTTTGTTAGATCGAGCTTTTCCTTATGTTGCAGAGATCCCGTTGCATTCTCTTACATTCCATGTACTTACGCCATTTAACCTTCATTGTTTCATGATGCAGAATGATGTGCCATAAAATCTTAGCACATTTGATGCTCAAAACTAAGGATAAATACTAGAATTGAGTGTATTTTTTGTAAGATTTAATGTGTTTGTTGAATGTCTAGACTTGTTCACACCTGCATGCAAAAATTGAAAAAAAGAAGCATAAAATGAATGTATTGAGGGAGACATCACGAAGCCTAGTATGGGTCAACGTCATCAGGACGGGCCATCATAATGCCCGTGGTGATGTAGAAGTGAACCTGGAAATCTTGATGCTGATAACCAAAGTCCAAGTGAAGACCACAGTGCCCTAGACGGATCATGGTCCTCCTGACAAATCATGATGTTGATCGTGAAGGTGAACCATTGGGAAGACCTCGTGGAGTTGTGTTTTGGTTTGGCCAAGTAAAGACCACAGACACTTAGACGGGTCGTGGTTCTCATGATGGCTCGTGATGCTGATCGTGAAGGTGAACAGTAGGAAGACCTTGAGGATTTAGGTTTTGGTTTGGCCAAGTAAAGACCATGGACATCCAGATGACCCGCGGTCCTCCTAACGGACAGTGATGATGAGCATGAAGGAGTTCCAGTGAACATGTCTGGAAGAGTTATATTTTGTTTGACCAAGTAAGGACCATAGATGGCCTTATGGGCCGTGAAGACTGTGACAGACCGTAGTGACGTCCGTGTAACCCTCCGACATTTTAATCCTACTTCGAGTAGGGCTATTTTTAGATACACTATTTGAATTTACTAGGTTTGATTTTTTGTTTTATCTTATCATATATGGAACCAGAGACTACTTTGCTATTATTCTCTACTTTTGGTTTTATCGATTAACATTGGATCGAGATTCAAGTTTGATTTGGTTATTGAATATCAGTCGTTCTTTGAATTCGCAAATATTCGTAAGTGATTTCTCTTAATGTTTTCAATACTGATTTTTACTTATTCAATTGAAAGCACGAGTACCTAAACACCACAACTAGGGGTGTGGGAACTATGACGGAAATCTAGTTGTAGGTTCATAAAATAAGTTGAATGTGATTGTTATTTGCAAAACTTTATTCGACTTTTATTATTCATTCTTTCTGATGAGTGCATACATTAGAACTTGCCAGTATCTATCAATTGTTCGAGAGAAAATTGATAGTTAGGAAAAAGTCAAATTAGTATGTTGTTTTGTAGTGAAAGTTCGAGTTCGAGAAAAGAGAACTTTTACACAAAAACTATGCGAGGGTAAAATATGAAAACACTCTAAGACCGAGTGGAAGTTATCTAACAAAACTGAGAGGTGTTAGATACATTTAGCTCGCTCATAATTTGCAAAGAATCAATCACCTAAACCTTGTTCACGAATCAACACAAGATGAAACGTCATGGGAAACACAACCCTGATTTTAATTAATTATCATCACAACCTTGAAGTTAAAATCATGTTACTTGTAAAAATCAAGATATTATAATAATATTGGTTACTTGAATCTTACAACAAACCCAGTTTACATTTCGTAAGTACTTTTTCTAGGAAATAATAACAACATATGGATAAATTTGACAGTGAAACTATTTCTACAATGAAATTCCTTGTGGGATCGGCCTCAACTCACGTTGAGTTCTATAAATTGGCTTTGACCATTTATACTTCTTAATTGAACTCTATGCTTGGATATATCAAACTTTGGCGCCGCTGCCGGGGAATATCAAATTAGAAATATTTTTCTAGAAGTTATTATAAATGTAGTTATATTCCCTAATATTATATCTTTTTCTTTCTCTGTGACTTTAATATGTACGTTCAGTAGTGCATGCCCAATACCAGAAGTAAAGGAGCTCCATTAATTCCTTACGATCCTGAACTTAGAAGAACAATTCACAGGATAGTGAAAGCATAGGAACTTGAAGCTCAGAGGTAAAGACTTTGACTTGAGGTTCAGACCGCTGCAAGAGGTGCTCAGAACAAGTCTGTGAGCAACCCGCCTAGGGGGATTGAGGAACACGTAGGAGTTGACGAGATATCTCCTCCCCACTACCAACCACTAGCTCATATGGTGTTTGAAGAGGATGACTTGGACTTGGACGGAGGTGGAGCAACAGGAGCAATAGTTTTAACTACACTACCTCCAGGTGTGAAATTTACAATAACCAGTACAATAATTCAATTGCTGAACTTGAAAGTTGTGTTCAGAGGTGCAACTGGTGATGAGGCAAATAAGCATCTAATGAACTTTGTGGCGATATGCAAATCACAGGAATTTCCTGGAATTAGTGAGACAACTATGAAGTTGAGACTATTTATGTTGTCTCTTATTGGGGAGGAAACCAATTGGCTGAATGAACATCAAGGTGATTCAGTCAGGACCTGGAATGAATTGAAGGAGGCCTTCTTGGAACGGTTCTACACTGAATCAAAAGAACTGCAGATGAGATAGGTGCACACAAGCAACTACCAGGGAATAAATACATGATACTTAGTGGAGATTCAACCAAAAGCTGAAAAAGTTCCCAAACCATGGTCTCACTGATAGAGTTTTAGAACAGGTATTTTATAGATCATTAGATTATGTTACTAAGCCTGTTGTTGATGTAGTGTGTAGAGGATCATTCAAAAGAAAACAATTCCCAGAAACTATGCAACTAATGGATGAGGTCTCTAAAAATAATATAGGTTGGTATACCAGGGATGCTGAACTGGGAGATCTTGGGTTTCATTTTTCTAGACTACTTTGTGATTCTTGATTGCTAAGTAGGCTTTGAGGTTCCCATAATTTTGGGAAGACCATTTCAGGCCATTGGTCGAGCTTTGGTTGATGTTGAGAGAAGTCATCCATAAATACCTCCATCGAATCCTCCACCATGTCAACAAAAATAGATAACATGCAATGTTGAAATGTTGACGAAGCATTATATAACCCGAACGACATCCGTTTGAAGGCAAAAGTTCCATATGGGCAGGTGTAGGTTGTTCTCTCTTGGTCTTCTAGAGCAATGGAGATTTGATTATAACTGAAATACCCATCCAAAAAGCAATACCAACCTCTCTCTGAGAGTCGATCAAGCATTTTATCCATGAAAGGCATAGGAAAATGATCCTTTTTAGTCCACGAATTTAGCTTTCGATATTCCTTGCATACTCTCCATCCGGTCATCGGTCTCATAGATACAAGCTCCCCCTTTTCATTTGGGACTACTGTGATACCTCCCTTTTTCGGTACACATTGTACTATACTTACCCATTTGCTATCCGCAATAAGGTAGATCACACCTACGCCAACCACTTTATTATCTCCTTTTTCACCACCTCTTGCATCGATGGGTTCAATCTCCGTTGATGGTCAACACTCGGCTTACAATCACTATCAAGCTGAATTTTGTGAGTGCAAATACTATGGAAAATGCCGACTATGTCAGCGATAGTCCAACCTATAGCTTTGATATGCCTTCTCAACACCTCAAGGAACAATTTTACCACCCATTCAAGCAAGTTAGCTGCAATGATCATCAGTAAGGTGTTATTTTCCCCCAAGAAAGCATATCTGAGATGGGAGGGAAGTACTCTCTACTCTAGATTTGGTGGTTCTTCTATTGATGGATTTGTGGGAGGACTCTCTCGATTTTTTAGATCAATGTCCAACTTCAATGGAGTCTTTGAATACCCCCCAAGCCTAAAAGAGCAGCTACTAACTCTTCATAGTCTTGAATTTTGAATTCATCATAGTTAGCAAGCACAACTTCAAGTGGTTCACTCATACACATCAAATGACTCACACTAGCCACCACCTCATCAATAACATCAACAGTGGAGATCACGTGACTATGACTTGGGTGTTTCATTGATTTACAAACATTAAAGGTTACTTCATCTTCATTCACCCAAAACTTTAGTTCTCCGTTTTCAACATCCACCAATGCCCTCCAAGTTGCTAAGAATGGTCTTCCCAAAATGATTGGAATTTCAGCATCTATTTCACAATCGAGAATGACAAAATCATCCGAGAAAATGAATCTGTCAATCTTTACCAATATGTCATATAGTATCCCCACAGAATGTTTAATTGATCGGTTTGCCATCAAGAATCTCATTGTTGTGGCTTTCGATTCACCCAACCCAAGTTGTTTATAGATCGCATAAGGCATTAGGTTGATGCTTGCTCCCAAATCGCATAGGGCTTTAGAAAATTGGAGCATACCGATGGTGCAAGAGATGGTGAACGCTCTGTAGTCCTCTTTCTTTTTGATCTGCTCCTTAGTCATAATTGCACTACAACTATGAGAAACGTTGAATGTCTCAAAATCCAAGCTCCTTTTCTTTGTGACTAACTCCTTCATAAACTTGGCATAACCCCACATTTTCAAAAATGCCTCAACTAGAGGGATATTAATTGATAATGTCTTTGAACACCGATAAAAACTTCTTGAACTTCACATCCTCATTGTTCTTCTTGAAACGTTGGAGAAATGGAGGCGATATTTTGGGTAAAGGTTGCATAACTTTTGGGATTGGATTGTGTTTCTCCACATCTTTATGTGGTCCTTTAGCAATGCTTTGATGGATATGTGTCTTTTCTTCTTCTATACCTTTGCCTTCTTCTTGCATTTGAGATTCTCCATTGCCCGTCACATCGCCTATTGCTACCGTTCCACTATGAGTAACCACAACCAGCCCTCTATCATCATCTTCCATTGCCATTTTTGGTTTCAATTGTGTTGAAAGTAAACTCAACCGACCTTCAAGTATCTTGATTGCATCTGCGTGAGAGTTCACTTTATAGTTCAATGATGTAAAGTCAGCTTGTAACAAATCATCTGAACCTTCAACTTTATAAAGGATACGTGACAGAAAATCATTCACCCGGGGACTATTTGCAATACCTTTCAATTTTGGGCTCTCACTCAAGTGAGTTTGGTCCTCTTCATGGTCGTCCTCCCATTTCCAATAATCACACTTCTCTGCTCTGCCACCTTGTGATAGTTCCAACCTTGATTTCCACCCCTCTATAAATAGCGTGGGTGGAAACCCTCCTTGTATCTCTGGGAGTTACAACCTTGATTCTCCCCCAGCTTTGAATAATTTGAGGAAGAACCCTCCTCAAATCTAAACACTCCACTTGTCCCCTTGAGCTTTTCCACATTCTCCATCATATGCTCTTGTAATAGTTCCATTTGGGTCAACATCTTCTTGATGTTTTCATCCATCTCTCTTTCCTTATCAAGTAGTTCTTGTGTCATACTAAAATAAAAAGGAGAGACTTGATCCTCCTAGTGTACCAAACTTGACTTATTTTCGTCATGTCATCAAGAAGAAATAAAGCCACCTCAAATGATTGCAACATTATTCCCCCTCTTACTAATTGATCAGCCATTCCTTTATTAACCGAATTGAGACTCGTAAAAATATTGGAGTAGGAAATCGTTTGGTAGCTCGTGAGTTGGGCATTTAGGTAAGAATTTTTTAAACCTCACCCACATTTCATGGATGGGTTCACCCTCCCATCGCTTGAAACCTTGGATGTCGTCTCTAAGTTTCATCATCCTTGATGGGGGGGGGGGGAAGAATTTTGCATTGAATGCTATAATTAGCTTTTCCCATGATGTGATGGAATTGTTGGGTAATTCGGCCAACCACTTGCTAGCCTACCCCGTCAAAGATAGTGGAAATAACAGAAGCCGGATTGACTCGTATGACACATTCTTGAATGAAAACGGGCTACACACCTCTGTAAAATTTCGTACATGCTCATGCAGATCTTCATGTTCTTGCCCTCTATAGAGTCCCCTCATTTGGATGAGATGAAGAGTTGTGCTAGTGACCTCAAATATTACATTCCCATCAGTTTGTGGTAGGCAAATTGCACCCATATCACCTAGTTGAGATGGGTTGTAAACACTATTGATATCATCGATACCGTCCCGATAACCTGTTTGGCTAGTATTCACCTCTTCCTCACTCATTTTTAATTCTATGTAGTCCAACCAACACTACACAATGCAGTCTAAGCCGATTCAACTACAACCAACAAATTCACAAGTCAAATCTTCGATCAAAGAGCTCTAAGAAACGCTATGCCTCGGCAGCGGCGCCATTTTGATTAAAGTTTCAATGACACTTCATCCAATTCTAAGTGTCAACGATCGCTAGTCAGTATATAACCCAACCAACTGGGTTGGGGTCGATCCCACAAAGAGTAACTTACTTTGAATTCAACTACGAAAGTGTGATGATAACCTTTGCAGCTGAGCAACACACACTAACAAGTTTAATAATCAAAATTTCATGATGTCGTTACCAATCCACTTCAAATTATTAACAGGAAACAATCAGATAACTAGAAAACACTTGGGGGATTGACTAACCAACTGCCGAATTCAACTTAAAGGGTGTACATCATTACAAATAATGCTAATTCATCGCGGGTAGAATGCACTATAAGTAAAGAAATTTTCTCTCGAACAATTTCCTTATCTCCATTGAGTTCTCTCGAGCCTGACATTATCCATAAGCTACCCAATCCATGTTCTCATCAAATCCACTCTTTCAAGCTAGATACAAAGGCTGAGTCTTGGGTTTCACTTTCTCAAGCTGAAACCATCAAGACCCACTACTAAGGATACCAAATTACTACGTTAGTTTTGTAAATCTCTCTCGAGCAAGCACGAAACTCTAAAATCTATCATACTAAAATGCAATAATGAAGTTAAGCCACCATAATAATTTAGACCCGCTTCTGATTAACACCAAAAATCAATAATTGTTAACACCCATTTAGTAGAAAGCAACAATTGATCACATTGTCAAACCCCTAAGGTTAGGGTTTTAGCCAATCATGGTCAAAAGATGAAATTCAATACAAGCCACGTTTTCCATAGTTGGGTAAATGAAATTTGAAAGTTAAAATTAACTCAAATCTTCTCTATTACAAAATATCAATGAAAAACCTTGCTAAAATCACTTGAAATCCACAATGGTAATGTTCTTGCTGTCAATATTTTGTTCCTCATGTTTTTGAATACCTTCTCTCTCTTGCAAAAATCAATATATGCAAGTCTAATGTGTGGTTGTTTGGGACCAATCAGCGAGGTAAGTCGGGCATAGCCGACCGTTCGACGACTCACCGATTTTCCTTTGCCTCGCCTTCATTTTTCCCCTCTTCTTAGTCCAACCACTGTAATTTTATGCGAGCCAGATCGAGATCACCTTGTGATTCCGTGATGCACCATTTTTCCTTTCATCTCGCCCATCAGCAATTATCTGGATGTGCATCAGTACTTTTGGCGACCTAGTCATCCATCACCAATGTGATCGGTGTCATGCCGAGTGGAAATGTTGCCCGCCGAAGCTACCCCTAATCCAGACTCAGCGTTATGTAACTTTAGGCGGTAGAGTGGCAACTTGGCGAGTCGCCGAGTAACATCGGCGATCATCACGCTTGTTTTTCCCTTGTCTTTTTTCGCTCATGTTGTCTCTATTGCTTATTTCTGTCCTAGCTTTTTTCCTCAATCCATATATTTGAAGATCAAGGGTTTTACATTAGTTGTTCGCATAAAATAAGTATTTGAGGACATTAAATCATTAGAAATAAAGCCCTAAATGAGTTCGAATCTCGGACTCATCTAAACCCATTGGGAAAGTCGAACTCAACTATCGTATAAGCTTCCACCTCATATTTATATCCACTCTATGCTAAGCATTAGTTCCCATTGAGTTCATATTAAGTCTTGACTTAAGTTGATAATTATGGAAGAATGTCTTGACACTCAATCCATATAACTCATACTAAAGCTCCTAGATTCATTAGGTGAGACTAGTCTTCCAACCTTAATGTCACTACATGTGACAAACCTTTCACATTATAATATATGCATTCCTAAGTGTGTATATTAGGATAATCATCCAATCAATACAACAATTAGATCATAGTATATTCACTTTACTATCAAAGCAATCTAAATGCATATACACAAGTCTCATACACATAGCTAATTCTCATGCTTTACCCTTCAAGGACTATTGATCACATTCAACCAACATATCTATTATTACTACATTAGACATGGATGGTAACATGATTCAAATAACTAAACTACTACAAGTACAGTTTCATAGTATTCATCTTATTACAATTCACCCAAATCACAAGTCATAAATTAGGGTTATGGGTGTTTCATGGATTCATGGGAGATTTTCTCATAAAATCATAATAATCAACAATTCAATCATAATATATGATAATTAAATCATGAAAAATGTTTTTGGAAAGAATCCATGACTTGGAGTGAAAACCCTAGGTTTTTGAGAATATTTAACTTTGAAATTGAGAGTTTGAGGACTTCATGGAAGAAAGATATCCATGAATCAAAGACTACCATACCTTAGGTGAAGAATTCCAACAAATTTGTGTGAAAAAAGCCTCCTTCTTCAAGCCCTAACTTGATCTTCTTCTTCTTTGGCGTTCTAGAGAAAAGATTTTGGAATTATGATCTTAAATGGGTTATTTTAGGTGGAAAACAAAATACTTATATAGGTTTTTATAATAGGATTAAAAAGACACCACATACCCATTAATTAAAAAGGAAATCCCCAAAATACCCCTAACCTTAACTGCCAAATGGCACTTTCAGGTGTGACCAAGGACTAGGGACCCACAGACCATGGATGGGACCACGACCCGTGTTGGCAAACCGTTGGTCATGGTCTGGGCTTGACTTTAAGGAGATTGACCCACGACCCCCACCTACAGGGTGTGGGTGGACCTACGGGGCGTAGGTGCCCTCGTGAATCACTGCCCAGGTAACATTGTTGGGTCTTTTCCTCAAGGACCCATGGCTGGTCCTTAGGGTTTAGGCCTTGACGTTCTAACACAAAACCATGAATTTCAAGGTACGGGGAGGTACTTTCAAGGCTCTAACCCTAACGTCAAGCTCTAACTTAGCCTTCTAGTTTTATGTTAGACTCTAGTTTAGGCTACTAGTTTCCGGAATGTTACATCCTGCCATCCCAATTGAACCTCGAAAACTACAACCTGCATGAAACAACCTAAACCTAACAGTTCATAGTTTCAATAGCACACAAATCAATAACAACATTCCAACGATTTTGGATCAACAATTCAGAAGATCAATTTCATCAATGACATGTTTCATAGAAAGGCACTCACAAGTTCACAAATGATATAGATATGCAATGTAATGAAATGCAATGCAAAGTATAGTGATGCATGTCTGATGTAGCGATACACATCTAATGTCTCTCAATCCGAGACCCATGACATATCTGTCAATGCATTTGTCACGGCATGTGACACGATCATCAATAATAAAATCCGTCGTTGCATGCGGCACGTCCCTCAATA